TGTGTGTGTGTGTGTGTATGTGAGTATCTCTGTTTTCATGTGTACGTGTTTGTATGTGTTTATGTGTGTATATGTGTGTCTGTGTGTGCGTCTGTTTGTTTGTATGTGTGCTTTTTTATGTGTTTGGGTATATATTTATGTGCATATTTCTCTATGTGTGTGTATGTGTGTGTGTGTGTGCTTGGGTGTCTGTATATTTGCACATGTCTATGTATGTGTATGCGCGCGTGTGTGTGTGTGTGTGTGTGTGTGTGTGTGTGTGTGTGTCTGTGTGTATGTTTGCGTGTATGTTTGTCTGTATTTCTGTATATGTCAGTGTGTATGTCTGTGTCTGTGTGTCTGTCTGTGTGTGTGTGTGTGTGTGTGTGTGTGTGTGTGTGTCTTTATGTCTTCATATGTCTATGTGTATATGTGTGTATGTCTGTGTGTATTTGTTTGTGCATGTGCGTCTGTGTTTGTGTGTACGTAGATCTGTGTGTATGTGTGTGTGTCTGTGTGTATGTGCGTGTCTATGTTGGTGTGTCTGTTTGTCTGTACTTGTGTGTATGTATGTCTGTATGCATGTGTGTGTGTGTGTGTTTATGTGTATGTATATCTGTGCGTTTATATGTATGTGTCTGTGTCTGTTCATGTCTATGTGTCTGTGTTTGTGTGTTTGTATTAGGCCAGGGCAAGATCGACGGGAAAAAGACTCGAGGCCTCGATTCCAAAACTGAAAAAGAATAAAGAAATCGAGTCCGATTTTCGAGTTTGGAAGCTGCTTAAAGTGGCCTGGCACTGTTTAGAGGCCATGACTTGAATACTGCTAAAAATAGCTTTTAAACTCGAGGCCTCAAGTCTCGATTTTGACAGACATGGCTGGCAAAGCCTGCACGCGTGCCAAGACAAGTTGGCTTTCACACATTTGTGTGTGTGTGTGTGTGTGTGTGTGTGTGTGTGTGTGTGTGTGTGTGTGTGTGTGTTTTGTAGGTAGGCTTGTAGGGTTGCCTCCCTTCTTCTATCACTCTTGCCAATGCGTGGGGCACAGTCTCCTTCTCTCCTGCATCCTTTGCTTCCTGATATGTCAAAGCATGCTTTGATGACAAATGTTTTTGTTATTGTTGTCGTTGTGTTATTGTATGTTATTACAAATCATACAAACAACAGTACTGTGTTTTCCTGCTTATAAAAAAGTCCCAAGCTAAAGATCGACGTCCAGACATGATGACTCATTGATATCAACTCAAAACACACAATATTATGATTTACAAAAGAATACGTGTACAGTGAAAATGAAAGTGCAGAGAAATTCAAAAGCAAGCGTTCAAAACCAAAGAAAGAGAAAAAACGAAGTGAATTATTTAAATTGGGATGGGCGGGCGTGGATGGGGCAACAACATTCAAAGTAACAGTAGCCTATGTGCAGCGTGGTTTCGTACTGGGCTACACGGTAGACACGACAATTAAGTAGGCCTAGACCTAGATCTAGTTTAGCATTCACTCATAGCGGGAAAGAGGAAGTTTGTGTGGGGTGGGGGGTTGCGTGAGACAATTGATAGTGACTGACTGGCAGTTTTTTGCCTTAGGCTCCAACTGCACTAGGCCTATGACAGTTCGTCTGTCTGTATGTATGTATGTGTGTGTATATGTGTCTGTATTCTTTTGTTTGCATGTATGCCTGTATGTTCGCGTGTATGTATGTCTATGTGTCTGTGTGTATGTTTGCGTGTCTGCATGTATATATGTGTGTATGTGTCTGTGTGTATGTTTGCGTGTATGTATGTATGTAGGAGCCATGTATGTATGTCTCTGTGTGTCAGTGTGTATGTTTGTGTGTATGTATGTATGTCTGTGTGTGTCAGTGTGTATGTTTGTGTATAAGTATGATGTTCATTCCAAACAAAACTCACAAGATTCCCGCTCCCTCACAAAAAGAAACTACGGTTGTTGTTTTTTCTCCCTGATTCCTTCGCCCAGTTCTCTGACAGGCATATGGCTTTTGGCTTCTTCGAGACCAGTGCAAAAACAGGGGAGAACGTCTACTCTGCCTTCCACACCCTGGCCTTCAACATCACGGATATATGTGATCCCAAACTGGTGAGTATATAATTTGTAGGAAGGTCTATAGCGTGATCCCAAACTGGGGAGTATACAATTCACACAGAGAGAGAGTGTGTGAGAGAGAGAGAGAGAGAGAGAGAGAGAGAGAGA